GTTGTCCGCGGGAGGCCGCCGGTGAATACAAGACTCGAGGAGGAGGAAATTAGTTTAATCCTTTGGGCTCAACGACACATTAAAAAGGGAAAGGTTGATCGAATCATTGATCCCTCATTGATTGGGCAAATAACACCACAAAGTCTAAAGTAATTTGTAGAAGTTGCCTGCAATTGTTTACGTACTGGTTCAAAGGAAAGGCCTACAATGGCTGAAGTGGTGGGGACTCTTGGTCTTGCATTGTTGTCACAACGTAAAGGACGATCAGGGGGAATAATCGGAAAGGTGCTTCGGGGTATTGCAACTGTGCCTAAAGGTATGAATCGTTGGTGGAGGGAGAGAAATGAGAATGGACCATCAAATGATTCATTTTGGGAACCACTTCCAGATAGTGTCACCCGACAACTCCGTCGCTTCTCACTAGCTGATATTCGAGCAGCCACAAATGATTTCAGTGAGGATCGTTTGATTGGAGAAGGTCAGCTTTGCAAGGTGTACAAAGGGTATTTGGACGGGGAAACTGGTATTGTTGCGATCAAAAGGTTCAAGGAGTCGAAATCATTGCAACTCTGGAAAGAAGCTAGGGTTGAGATTGAGGTACACTCCCTACTCGACAGTCACCCCCTCATAGCCTCTTTAATTGGATTCTGCTATGAGAAACCAGAGTTAATCCGCGTGCATGATTACATGACAAACGGATCCTTGGAAGATCATTTATTCAAAATAAACCGCAATCCACTTTTGTGGAAAGAGCGACTCAAGATTTGCATTGGTGTAGCACGAGGACTACAACATCTCCATTCGAGTGTGAAGCATAGAGTTATCCACTGCGACGTAACGCCAGCCAATATTCTGTTGGACGAGAATTGGGTTGCAAAAGTTACTAATTTTGCAATCTCTAAACTAATACCCAATGACATTGCAAATGAATCATTAACAGTTTCAATGATTTGTGGCACTATTGGATATATTGCACCAGAGTACTTACATGGAAAATTGACAACAAAATCTGACGTATATTCATTTGGTATGGTGTTGCTGGAATTATTGTGTGCCAAGAAATTGCATACTTCCGGCCCGAATGAAGGTGAGTACTCCCTTCACTGTTGGTTCAAAAGTAGCTGCAAAAGAGGAACCATTGATCAAATCATTGATCCATATCTGATTGGGAAAATAGCACCAGAATGCTTCAAGGAGTTTGTCAAGATTGCATTGAGTTGTATTCTTTATCTGGTAATCCAACGACCCTCCATGAATGATGTGGTAACGAGTCTCCAGTTAGCATTGCAATTGCAGGAGACTTGGGAGACTCGTATCGAGATTGGTGTTGAGTTATCTATGACCGAACCTAGTTCTTACAACAACGTCTTCTCTATTGATGAACTGAGCAACGTCTTCTCTATTGATGAACTGTTTCCAACTTCAAATCGGTTAGCAAAGAGTCTATGCATCTCTGTAAGAGAGCTTGAATTTGGTTCTTCACTTTTTGTGTATATGTATTTGTTTCTTATGTGTGTATAGGGTCTTTTTTATATTTGTTAAGTTTATTTATACTAGTGGATTTATGCTGGGCAATTTTTTCCTACTTGAATGTTTTGATGAGCTAAAAATGTCAGCATCAGCGGCACTGATAATTTGATAATCATTAAAGAAAAGAAACGACCATAACTTTGTGGACACTGGACATCATATTTTATCCCAAGAAAAATTAACAATGTACCAATAGAATCTACCTACAAAATTCTTGAAACTATACACACTCCTGAAAGATACATACCGTATGCATTAAAAATTTGTCACAAAGATTCATAACTTCTACGAATTTGGATCATAACCAAAGCCAAAGTGATTCACTGCAAAAGCACCACAATAACTTCATAACCACGGCCCGTTTCAGCTCATAATAAAACACGACAAAGCCTCGTAATCAACATCACTTCAATTCACAACCAAACCCACAAAGCCATTGGAAACTACAATTGTAATCAAGAATTAATCGTACTTACAAAACTCTTAATCAACGCAATATAAATAAATAAAGTAGAAGGTTTTTTTTTTCCCCCTATTTTTCATTATTCTTCATAAATTTTTCTACAAATTCAAAAGTCAAACACAAACTAAAAATATTTCACAACAAAAAAAAACTTACTTTTTTTTTTAATTAAAAAAAAAGACATTATTATAATAACTAAAGAGTGTGTTTGTTTGAACGGACTGGATAAGGAAGGATTGTAATCCACCAAACTGCTAGTCCTTAGATATATTGCCCCTGAACTATTTGGTTAGACTGGATTTGTATCTTATATTTGTTTCGTCATGGGATTATATGTCTGGATTGAACTATTCTATTAAATCCTATGTTTGTTTGGAATATTATGGAGAATGATAATGCTCAAAAGACTATTTTGCCCTTTTGAATTATTTACTAAATTATAGGAATATTAAATATGAATTATAAATTTTATTTATTTTTTTACTAGAACTTTTAAAAAAATAAATAAATAGAATATTAATAAAAATTATTTATTATTGGACTATTGTTTAGTTGTTCAATGTGATTGGATTCGTGTTTAGGCTTACGTGTGCCTTGGGCTAAGTCCCTGTGGGCCACGGCCGGTCATGCCCGGATTTGGGGTGTGACATTAATACATAAATTTTATTTTTAAAAAGATATTAAATAATAGAGGGTCAAAAAATTAATTTCACTACCTAATCTCATGGAATGAGTTATCCTATGGATGGTGTCCCATCCCCTAAGATAAAATAATCCCGTAGATTTGAAATTCATAGTCCGGTGTAAAAATTTTCAATCAAACAACATACTATTAATATGAATAGACTATTATTAGTTCTATCCCATACTTAATCCTTCTAAACAAACACCATCAAAGTAAGGTCACAAGGTCGGTAAAAGTGTTGTCCATCTGCATCTAGTTTGGCTTCCACTATCATCCTTTTAAAAAGTTTGGATTCTCCATTTCCATTATAAGTGCTTCATTGTGGGAAGGAACAAAGTAAAGCCACAGAAGCCATGGAAACTAGCCCTGCCATTATACCTCTCCATCTCTACTTTCTCCTACTCCTTTGCCTTCTTTGTCTTGATGTTTCTCTCTCTCTCTCTATGACTAGTGATGCAATTGTACAATGCAACGGATCGATAGCAGAATGTAATGTCGACTTGGAGATGGTGATGGAGTCAGAGGTAAGCCAAAGGTTTCTGGAGACGAAGAAGTACATATCACCAGGAGCTTTAAAGAGAAATCAACCAGTATGCAATGGTGGTGCAAGTGGTGAAGCTTACAATAAGACTAGTGGTTGTCTTCCACCACAATTTAACCCTTGTAGTAGAGGTTGCTCCAAATATTATCGTTGTAGGGGTGATTCATGATCCACCAAGGTTGGCCTTGTGCATATGCGCACAAATCACTGCTAAAAGCCCCAATTTTTTACTCATAAATAGAATAAAATTATCCTTTTAATCCTCATTCAAATGAGGGTCTCTATTCAAGTCCAACATCCAAAGAGCCATTTCATTTACATTTAGCAAGAAAAGAATGGAATCTAAAATTCAAGATATATAGATGAGTTTTTTTTGTTTTTTTTTTTTAAACAAATATATAGATGAGTTTCATAGTAATTTTTCACTGGATCTAGTTCATTTTTATTATGACTTTGGATTTTGTTTTTGGATTTTTTTTTTCTCGTTATAAACTAGATTTTGTTAAACTATGAAACAAGACCAGATTTTATGTTTTTGAGTTCTTATAATGATTTCTTCAGATCTAATGTACGGAAGCAAATTTTAGCATATAATTTAAGTAATTATATATACAAGTAAATTTTATGTGGATGTGAGTACTTGTTATTTACTCACAATTTTTTCATTTTTTTTTTTAATATGTATGAAGAATCCATCATAAAAGTTTGCTTAGGAACCAAAAAGCTCATGCTGGCACTACCCATGTTGCATCCCACTTTTTGATCAAGTTGACATTTTGACATTAGTTGATCTCATTTTTCATATCAAGTAAATGGACAGAAGGTTCATACCATGTAACTCAACTTTTGGAAAACATTTGATGAATAATAAGTATTTTGAAAGTTGTGAGACCTTCATACAAAATCAAACTAAATCTAAATCAAATTAGTCTTATGTTCCAATCAAGTAGGATCGACTACATAAATCTTCTTTAATAGGGATTTTTGTGTTGATTGTTAGGTTACTTAACAATTTAGTTGTATTCTCAGGTTGCTTGGTAGATTAAATCAGTGAAAAGGAAGATTTTAAATTTAGCATTCTTTTACATCATTTTACTTAATTAGAGGGCCAAAATAATATGAATAATTAGTGTAACATTTAACCATAAGAACTTATCAAAGGATAGGTCCTAACGTAAGTTTGTTAACGCACATTAAAAACTGTTTGGGAGATTAAAAGCCTTTTTAAATTATCATCTATTGTCAAATGGCTTCACCCTTATATTTAAGATGCGCAAGGGTGTCAAAGGTGTGTTCAGCTGTTAGGTAATTTTTTTTTTTTTTTTTTTTTAATCGTCAAAACATCATCTTTCATTCTATGCATCCAATGTCTAAATTTGATATTTATGAAATTTATTTATCGAGATCAAATGCTATAATGCCTGTACACAATAATCACCTGTTTAATTCTTATATCACATCACCAATAGTGCATAAGACCCTTCGATTGGCCAACATATATGAGATGATCCATTCAAAGACAAAAATATCATCATGTTACTAAGATAGTTCCCATGCACCACTACCCCCCAAAATAAATCATACTATTCGTGAATCCATCAATACATCCAACTTCACAAGCAAATATTTATAATCAACCTACTTCATAAAACAAAGGATAAAACTACATCCTAGAGTGACCCTAAACAAAACATCAACTACCAAATGTTCACATTTAATCCTCCAGAAACTCTAATCTTCCAAGTTGAGACGAGCCACACAAAAGTCTAGAAATTTGGAAAAAAAAATTAATTAAAAAAAATGTTCTAGAGCCCAATGAGTATACCAATCCCATGGAGTTATAAAGCTTGCTCCTTCCGATTAGGTTCAAAATAAGATAATAAACACAAGAGCTTAATTGGACTGAAATTTTTAAAAATTGAGAAAATTTTACATAAACCGTTATCAAGATTTTTTCAAAGAATCTCATAATGCAGGAAAAATACATTTGAATAAGGAAAATAAACAAAAATACAACTTTTCAATACCTTAAGATTTCATGTCCATCATACAAACCACTACATAGCCTTAGGGTCGCGTTACCTCACGACTTAGGTAGTGACGATACCGTTACCCAAAACATAATCATAGGAACATAACTCATGTCATCGTAGCATTTCAATTCTCATTTCAATCTTTCGGTCCCTAGGACCCCTTATGTACAACGACCCTTATGGTCCTTAAAGCATTTCGGTCCCCAGGACCCCAAAGCATTTCGGCCCTTGTGGCCCCAAAGGCTATATTCGGTTATATGATCAATAAAAATAAATACTCTCGCATGATGTTTCATTGTCATTTAATCATCATCATCATAAACTTTGAAGGACTCAACTTAAATAAATTCTCATAAAAAAAATTAGTGCTTTATTATACAAATGAAATCATATATTTATTTAAGCTTAACATTTGACCTCAATAAATTTATAGATTTTCTTCTTATACATATATCATGATGAAATGTGTTACTTCCTTTAATTCAAAAAATATTTTCAAACTTTGTATTAAAGATAGAGATAAGGTAAATTTCCATGGTAAGTATACTCACCTCTAAAAATAGCAAAAGCGTGGATTTGAAACCCTACGAATTAATTCCCAAGAGGTGTAGAGACGCCTTCCTTCAATCCTAACAATTAGTAAATAGGATCTAAAATTAAGGAAAAGCTTTCAATGAAAATTACAACATCTACAAAATTGATCCTAAATAAGACATGTTATGGAATGACAAGCTAAAGAACTCCTCCAACTTCAAGTCACCCAAACAAACAATTTACCCAATCTCCACAACACCCATCCGTTGTACATTTTTTAGTTATTAACCTTTTTAAATATCCAACCAATTTATATGCACAATACCACCATCAATTAAGCCACAAAAGTAAAAAATGAACATTTTCATAAACCCAACAACTTAAGTAAAACCACTTCAATCATTAATAAAATTCCTCCAAAATCGTTTATTGAACATAGAGATACCCAATCCACCATTTATCAAATCAATTTCAATATATAAATTTCCTAGCACCAAAATTCCCAATTTTTACATCACATTCAAACCTAGATTAACTCAAATCTCAATCTCCAAAACGGCCATCCAATTGATCAGTAAACCAATAATTTCATGAATCTAATAATTCCAACACTCTTCTTTCTTTACTTTATAAAACATAAATTTAAGCTATAAAGCCCTTTCAAAAATATTTACATGTAAGAAATTTAAATCAAGATCGAACTAATTTTTGATTCTCAAATATAACTTATAATTTATATTCAAATTTGTCCAAATTTAGATTTAATTTATTTTCTCCATATTAGACCCAAATTCAAATCCATAAGCCTTTTAAACATGAATTAAAATCTCAAACCCTTGAAATTTTATAATGCATGTTTAATTAAAGTATTAATCTTGTAGAGTTTGCCCATGCATGTAACAATGAGGCTTAATTTCATGCAAGATCACAACATTAAACCCAAAACAATTAATTTCCACAACTATGAACCTAACTTAATCTCTTCATCTTTGTTTTCTAATTTCTTCCAAATTATATGAAATTGAATTCAAACTCATCATTAATTTCAAGTGTGATACATGAATTCTTCAAAAATCAAGATTGAAATCCCTACCTTTAATCTTCAATTGATAGCATCTTGATGATCTTGCATTTTCCTTTCTTGAATTTCCTTCAAACCCACCAGCACAAAGCTTTCTCTCTCTCTCTCTAACTCACGGTTTTACCCAGTACAAAGAAAGGAAGAAGTTGCCTACTCTCTCTCTCCTTATATTCCCACTTATACACATACACCCATAGCTTTCTCTGCACACACAGATTTCTCTGCACACCCACCTTCAAATACACCCTCAATTTTAGATTATTCGACAATGATCAAAATTAATTTAATTAAGCAACAATTAGTCTTAATAAATCTTGATTACTAATCACAAATCCACTTAATTTAATTAGTCTAATTTAACTTCCTTTAGAGCCCAATTAATAATGTTTAAATTTATCAGATTTTTAATCAAACTCCCAAAAGCTCCAAATATTAAATTAAACTTATTGTCATCATCAATTTTGATTTCTCAAATCATTTAGGCCTTCAATTTCTGATCAGACTTCAAATTTCCATCAATTAAATTACATATTCAAATTAGACACCTCATAAGTAAATTTAATTCGTAATAATCACAATTCTCACCCTTCATAACTTAATTAACTTAATTAACTCCAATTCGGACCTAATTAATCGAATCTCAATTTTACTAAACTGAATCGAATATTTAATTAAACTCCTAAATGGGCCTGTAATTAAAATTAAATTGATTCAACTTCTTAATTTCACTTCCTTAAGCTGTTTGGACCCTTAATTTTTAATTTCAAAATAAATCTTTAATAGAATCATATATGAATCAGATTCCACAATTCTCATAAATCCTAAATTAAATTAGGATAACAACTAATTAAAATCTCAAATCTCCTTAATTAACCAAATGAAATAATATACATGGCGAGGTCATCACAACTTATAAGGTAGAAATAACTTGAATAAGCTAAAAAAAGTTGATTATCTAGAAGTTCGGAGAAGGGTGCTTTTGACTTTTTGCTTTCTAATTATCAACTTTTAACTTATAATAAACTGCACCAAACAGGCCATAAGGATTTTAATAGGTGAGGGACTGCCTTTTGTCAACTTGGAATGAAGGGACCAAAACAAGGTAATACACAATATACCAATGAGTATTTTGGTCATTTGGTTACACTTGGGACTTCACAAAGCTAAAAACTTGAGGTGAAACTTAGGCCTCGTTTGGAAACTTAACTATTTTACTTGACTTTTTAGCCATTTTTTAAGATTAAAAAAAGAAAAATTGAGTTTGGAATGATTTGTAGTTTTTTTTTTTTGATAGTTGAATAGAGGATTGTGAGAAAAAAAAGTGATTAATTGATGTGTAGGATGTTACATTTTATCTAATTGACTATTTTAACTTTTTTTTTTTTTTGTATTGGCTATTTTAGAAAAAAGTTGCTCCGAAATGGGGCCTTAATGTTATATAAGTACATTATATAAGACCTTCCTTTAAAATCCCAAAAAAACACATTAAAAAATGTCAATATTCACAGTTGTGTTTTTCTCCTTTTAACCTCTCACAAGATGAGTTTGAATACCATTACTAGAAAAAATAGTACCTATAAGATAAAGTGCGATACGGGCCATTCCATGTACCATATTGCTTTGTCGTATAAAATGGCAACATTGGCAGCCAAAGGGTTGCGAGAGCAAGACAAAAAATCAATCAATCTACCACAAATTCCTTTATTTTCATAGATATCCTTTTTGTCCAACCTAGAATCAAATCTATGCCTTTATGTTGGGTGTCTTTTATTTCTCCTAGTTATCAACCAAAGACGTGTCTTGTTGTCTGCATCTACTACTTCTATCTCAAGAACATATTCTCCAGAGGGGGCCCTCTTCCTTAGGAGTCATTTCTATTAGCAATGGACTGCCTTCTTGAGATTGTTAACAGGCTCGACATTCCTTTTCTTTACCAGCACGATGTCGTCAAATAAAATGAAATGTCTTTTCTTGCCATTCCCCATTCTCAAACTTCTTCTTGTGAGGGCCTGAGCCATGGAAGTGGATAACAAAACTTTTCTTAGACTTTGTTTTTCTTCTTCCTAAGCCTACACCTCAAGGTGAGACAAAAGAGAAAAAACGGGAAGGCCTTCTTATTTTGAGGAGAGTACCAAGTAATAAAGAGCTTGCTAGTGAAGATCTTAGAGCAAGGAGAATAGAACAATCAACAAAAGAGAAGAGAAGAGGTCCATGATCACAGATGTAAGAAGGTGAATCAGTAATCACTCATGCCACAACTAATGCTAATGAATCCTCCTACAATAACAAGGCAAGTTAAAAAGAAGAGATAATGATGAGTCAGAGTACTTCCCTGATAGAGCAAGTAGAGCACTACCTAAACTAAACATTAGAGGTGTTTTTGCTCCATTCACTTCCGTTTCGTTAAGGACAAGCACCCCTACAGACTAACTCCCAACTCATGGAGATGACTCCGCCTTACATCATCATCCAAAAGCTCAAACATGCCAACAGCATTTCGTTCATTTACGCAATATTTACTCGTATACTTGTTAGCTATTGCTGTTCCACACCCTAGCTTTCAAGGAATCTAAGGAAAGAACGTAATAAGTGGTGAACAAAATTTACTCGCTCCTTAGAGGAAATAAAAATTGCCTCTACCACCAAGAGAGGAAGTGAATAGTTGGCTCGAAGAGGGAAGAGATGCGCCTACTTGCTTTGCTAGAAAGTTAAGTGACTAGTTTACTGTTCAGAGGGAAAAAAAAAAGAAAAAAAAAAGAGAGGATAGATAAGCTAAAGTGGGCTTAAGTGCTAGCTAGTGTTAAAGAGCTTGTTGGATGACGGCAGAGCGAGCAGACTAGACTAACTCCCACTTCTGTATTCCAATTTACAGAAGGCAAATGGCTGGCTTGTTTGTCTAGTCCCACCTCTTCATCCTAAGCTCTTTTCATCCATACACAAGCATCCTCTTCTCTCTAACAAATAAGTCAACTACCCTATCTAATTAGCAAAGCTAGAGTACATTAGTAGACTACTTTCTTAGTTAGATAATTGTATTGATAAAACTAAAATAAACCTTTTCTCCCAGAAGTCTAGGTTGCTATTCTTCAAGTTAGAGAAGAACTTCCACAATTTGGGGACTGGCTTCCAGAGAATTCAGTCTCTTGGGCCAGGCTCTATTAGGCAGAGGATCACCTTTCTTTACTCGATGAGCAGGAAACAAGACACTTACACACTTAATTAGAGAGGTGAACCAGCATCAATTCTAAACCAGAAACAAACCCTCACTTTTCATATGATTAGATTAGAGCATAGTTAGATGAACCAAATTGATCCAAAACAGTCTGGCTTGCATGTGTGTGATAGGGGCTTACTTTTGATAAACGAGTTAAAGATAGTGACGAAAGAGCGAGCGCCGCTTTGAAAGGTCCTTTGAACTAAATATGCAACCATAGCTCTCTTCTAACACCAATGCAAAAAGAACCAACTTTACTGTTGAGTGCCTACAATGGGAGTATTAGACTTCAAAGCTTAAAAGGGCTTGACGGATGGATTCTTTTTTCCCAAGAGCTAAATCACCCAAGCAACAAAAGGAATATTCTCTATACCAATTGCGCTAGAAGTATAACTTCCCAAGAAATTGACATCTGTCTTTTCCAAAAAACAAAGTGGATTTCTTCTCTAAGCAAAGCTACCCTCCCTAAGCTTTAAAAAAATGGGGCGAACCTGACAAACCTACCTCTTTCTACAAGCACTAGAACTTGAGTGTTGAAACTGAACTACTAGTTTCCTTCGGTTCCTTCTCTAGTTTGGTTGCAGGTTCAACTTCATTGAAATCTTAACTTACAGTCGTTCCTTCCTTCACTTACAAACCTAGAGGGCAAATCATGATCCCATCCCTTCAACTATCAGTCCGTTAACTAAGAAGGGGGCCCAGAACAAAAACATCACCATCTTCCCCAGAACCCCCTACGTTGACACATTTTAAAAGGGAAGTTGAATATTTGTTTTTCTTTGGCACCATCCCTGGTTCATACCAGGAGGTGTTCAGAAGTGTATAATCATTCTTGCACGATGCAGCCACAAAAGAAAAAAAAAATCCTATTTTTTAGGAAGAAACAAACTCTTTCCTATTTTATATTTTTTAAACGTGCACCATCTTGAAAGTGAGGAGTTTGGCACGTTTGAAAACATATAGGTTGGATGCCAATTTTGTCGCTGAAACCAAAGCCCAAGTAAGCCACCCGCTTTTTTTTTTTTTTTGATAAATAAAAAAGATTGCATTATTAAAAACTAAGAAGTTACATATTGGCGGTACTCAACACCCCTAACATCTTCAAATAATTGGAATGAAATACAACCCAGAATAGTAGAAAAAACAGTGAAGGACCATTTTGGTTAAAACCTTCTATTCATAATATGCCCGCACACTTGTTTCCCTCGCGATTGTTGTCCATGGACTATGACAATTTTTTGAGAGAATGATGCCAACCACAGACATATTCCAAATCCAAGTTGTTTAAAAAAAAAATTAAATTAACAAACAAAAAGTCTAATTCCAAAACCCTCACTCATCACAAAATTAGGTTCACCTTGATGAATTATGTTCCTCAAATCCAAACTATGAGTCAGCTTGAACGTGTTATGGAAGAGCAAGAGTGAACCACAATATTTTATCTGCTCAGGACACACATCAGTTTTGTGCTGCAACATTGTCAAACTTGACCCTAATATATGAAACTAGGTCACAATTTGACTAGACAAACCCTTCATATGGTAAATCAAAATCTACTTAAAATGAAGTTTCTAGACCTCAAAACATTGAAGGAACCACCACGACTTAAGCAATCAGGCTAGTTGCCATAACACCTGCAGAAAGAGGAATGTCTTACCAATACCCATACCATACAAGCTTACTACAAAATGTATTCAGGAGGCACCTACCAGCTTGCAAGAGTAAAGCACAAAAACGAAGACAAAAAAAAGGAAATACTTTGGAGGGAAATAAAATAAAAAGAACAAGAACTGAGGAGCCTCAAAATACGTGCATGATGTCTTTATATGCTTGAATAGACAAGTTGATATGATTGTTGCTATTGTCTCACCATAAGATTGCAATATGAACTCTGATACAATGTTGAATTATTGGTCATCAACTTATCTAAAAGCTTAGAGAGAGGGCTAACTTACTTTATCCTCAATGGTCCAATTATTCACAAAGTTTTCTACACAAACTCACATTCAAAATTTTGGTAGCCAAGAACATTAAACGTCAAAGGAATGGGATCCGTACTTTAACTAAACATTATTGGATCAAGTCAACAAACATTCAAAGCTGAACATGCTTCTATCTCATAATTCTTCATCATCAAAGACAACTATATTCCTTGGTGACTCTACATGTTCAGTAATGATAAACTTACTCTTAATTCTCCTGGTTGGCTGCAATATCTTTAAGCATTTCCTTCAACTCGCCAGTCTACATGACAGACCAAACCATTAAAGCAATGTATACCAGGCTAAAGAATAACAAATTTGGTATGAGAATACCTGGTGCATGTTGAGAATGATGTCTGATCCTCCAACAAACTCCCCTTGATGAATATCTGTGGAAACGTGGGCCAGTTGCTGCAATGAAAGACCATGGGACAAATTGAAACAATTAGAAACTAGACATTTGTTTATCAACATTTTGGACCAAAATGGCTGCTAAGTAGAGACCAACAGCAACTCCGTTTGAAAATGTTGTTTCTCAGTAATTTGCATCAATTAACCAAGAGTCATGACAACTGAGCTTAATAGCTTATTCTCACAAATGATCCCAACAACATGTGCGACGGACCAACAAGCAACCTTGTGGATATATATATGACGCAACCACATCCCGAAAAATTCAATCAAGACTTGGCCACATATGTAAAACAACAAATGAAGTACCATTAAAAAAAGAAGGGCAAATTAGAAGGACCTTCCCTAACTATTGCCCAAATAACAACAGGCCAAATGGTATGGAGAAATGAGACTGGCATCCCCTAATGTGCCTCAAAAGTTAACTCCATTAATAGAAAATGTGAAGTGATAAAAATGCCCTCTCTACGGGTGTAATTTTGGCCCCGCTCGAGTCAGCCAGCCGTCAAGCTCCCGAAAAAAATCGGGTCAAGCCACTTGTGCAAAATCTGGGCCTAGTGGGTAATTGGGCCTGAAGAGGGCTTGGTTTTTTTTTAGTCTTTTTTTTTAAAAATAAAAAATAGCTTAAAAATTAAGTTAGGCGTCGCACGAGCCGGGCCTCAGATTGGGCCAATGGGCCTTGGGCTAGGCCGGGCCAAAAAACCCATGGCCCATGCCCTCGCACGAGGGGATATGGGCAGGCCTGGTCGGGCCTCGGGCCGACAAGCCATTTTTACACCCTACCTCTCTCCATCTTTCTCACTTTCCTCCACCACACTCATCTACCCTCTCCTCCACCCTACCTCATCCTTCAATTCTCCACTATAACAATCCAACACCGACCACTACCACCACACACAAAGAACAACAAAACCAAAAATCAATACAATACACAACATAATTAGGCTAAAAAAAAAAATCTACCCTTGATTCATCAAACACCCTCTCCGTCCCCCCTAAATTAAGGGGATTTTTGGTGAAAAGCCCCTCCCATTGGGCCTATTTTGTGTGAAGCCCACGGAATTAAACAATGACTCCAAATGCCCCTCAATTAAAAAAATGTCATGAATTGACTGAAATGTCCTTCCATATAAGTGTGGAAATATGAAACAATTAACAGTAAAAATTTACTATCAATCAAAGTAAAATTTTACTATCACTATCAAAGTAAAATTTTACTGTCATCACAAGTCCAAAAGTCAATTTGTGTTGATAAAATTTTGTTGTGGTTTAGTGTAACATTGTACTATATTTTAGAGTTAATTTTGACTATTAGGTTTGCCAAAGATTGACAACTCATACAGTGTGTCACCAACACAACTTGAGACATGAATGTAAAAGTAAAATTTTACTCTGCATAAAAGTAAAATTTTACTCTGAAATAAGAATAAAATGTTATACTCTGAATCTAAGAGTAAAATGTTACACCCTGAATTTAAAAGTAAAATTTTACTCTGTATAAAAGTAAAATTTTACTCTGAATAAGAGTAAAATGTTACACTCTGAAACTAAAAGTAAAATTTTACTCTGTATAAAAGTAAAATTTTACTCTGAAAAACTAGTAAAATGTTAGACTCTGCACAAAAGTAAAATTTTACTCTGTATAAAAGTAAAATTTTACTCTGAAAAATGAGTAAAATGTTAGACTCTGAATCTAACAGTAAAATGTTACTTTGCACAAAAGTAAAAAAGCAGAGGCAGTGTTTGTGGCAACTGAAGTGTTTGGCAATGACCACCTCTTGATAGTAAAATTTTACTGTCATTCTAACACCAGAATAAAATTTTACTCTAATTCTCTGAAACAAAAAACAGAGCAATAGAACCAGAGTAAAATTTTACTCTCATTATCTGAAACAAAAAACAGAGCAATAATTTTACTCTAGTTCTGTCAAATGAAATCAGATCAAAAACAACAAAAACAAATCCAAAAAAAAAAAAAACAAACAAACAAACAAAAACAAAGCGAAACAAAACAAATTAATCAACAAATCAACATATCTAATTGAGAAGAAAACTTCTAAAACTCGATCAACAATCCCAAATCTCAATGAAACTCTCATTTAATTGAGAGTGTTGATCGTCGGCGGCGAGATCGTCTATTGTTGATCAAGTGAGAGATCTTTGGCTGCGAGATCTTTAGATTTGGAGATCGTCTTCATCGATTTCGTTCCTGATTTCATTCATGCGAGATCTTCAGCTCAGATTTCAAATATTTCAAATGTATGATACGTATATATAGAAGGGCAATATTGTGATAAAAAAAAATAGAAATTATAAAATGTCCTTATTAAGGTAGGCATTTCCTACTCAGGGGCTTTTTGAAAGAAAATTGATTGGATTATCCTTTACCCTAATAAAAAGGCCCAAAATGGAGGTTTCACCAAAATTCCCTAAATTAAGCCCCCAACAAAACAAAAAAAAAATCATAAAGCAATCAAGGAAAAAAAAAACACAAATCAAACGTGTTCAGTTGATAAAGGAATGGAGGGCTTTGGAGTTGGAAGGCGTTGGATCATGGCACTCTATGAAGCACGGGTACGAGTACGAGTATTGGTACTGGTACGATACAGATACGTCGATAAGGTAAAATCTAAAAAAGTAGGGTACGGGTATGGCTTGGTACGTTTGTAAAAAAATATTTATTTTTAATTTAGAGTAATGCAAAAATTAATTAAATGGTTTAATTTGTTAAGATTTAACCTACAATTAACATTTAATGCCAAAAGTAAAGGTATAAATCAAAATTAAATGTCAATATATTAAATAACTTACAAACCAAAAACATGCTAAGTATAAAACTAAAAATAAAAAAGAAGCCTAGTGAAAGGAGTTTCATCTCTGTAGTGGAAGAAAATATTGTTTCAACTGAGGTATGGTACGGCTTGGATATATAATAGATACGTCTAGGTACACCAAAAATTAAGAAGAAAAAATGTGGATACGTATTTCGTGTACTCGGTATGTATGCAGAAGTATCATATGAGGTACCATCTGCCGATAATTACCCGGTACGGGTTTGGCATATTTTTCAAAGTACCCATGCTTCATAGATGGCACTGGAGTTGGGGTCGCGGCTAGGATTGTACTAGAGGCGGCATTGGAGGGCCATAAAAGGCAATGGGGTTTGACGTGGAGGCCACTGGTGATCATCATTGACATGAACCTAGAGCCAAGCTATATATCTCTTGTTTGTGTCTGGGCGAGAAGGTTGGGTGGCAAGCAGGTTGAGGTGAGAGGTTGGTGGCGGCACAATGGAATTGAGGGAAGGAAAGGTATGGCCTTTGGGGAGCTGAGGCAATGGCATGAGAGGAGGGATCGTTGGGGGCAGTGGGATGGGGTGGGAGGCAGCCGTGGCATGGTGAGTGGTGGCAAAGTCTAAGACGGGAAGGGGGAACACATAGAGAGGGGGAATGGATAGGGGAAAAGAGTAAGAGTGAATAAAGGTAAACTAGTAAAGGTTAAAGAGTTGACCTATTTCTTGAAGAGTAAAAATAGAAAATTTAATCCAAAAATTATCGACACCATAATATTCCATCCATCTCTCTTTCTTGACACCTAACGGTGAGGCACTCAATTATATGCCTACTCAAATGTTAGGGGAGTCAGTGTCATTGTCCTATGCTAATGGGATCAGCTATCTATGAAGCAGTGACACTTCAAAATAAGTGTTGTAGTCGTTTCCATTTTTTTTAAGGTACACAACAGGGGCGCATGTAAACACGGCGAGAGACATGTTAGACATGATGGGACACGATTCGGGACATGACAAGTCTTATTTTAATTTTTCAAAGCTAATTTCTAGGGTCATATTATAATATTTGGAAACAAAATGATTGGTTTTTTAAAAAAAATATAAAAATCATATGAAATCATCGGCAATGTAACACATATCTAAAACACATTTGTGAAGTGGAGAAACGACCTTCTAACAATCCTTGGAGCCTAATGGAACACAGATTTAGGGATTGTTTGGACAGTGCTACATTAGTATACTTTTTGACTTTTTACGAAAAAATATGAAATGTGGGTTGGGATTGAAGTGATGTAGTGGAGAGGTGATGTGATCCAAATAAGAGGCGATGTGACCCAAATAAGATAATTGTTTAACACATGCCAAACAAAGCCTTAGTCTCTGGTTAATTAAAATTTAGTTTTTTTTTATATTAAATTAGTGTTGGTTTTTATTAATTCTAGTTGTTTATGAATGTAAAATTTACATACATAGCAAATAAAATATTTTTTTTACATATCCCCCCACTGTATCCATGTCTTGAATTTTTTGAAATTATTGTGTCCCATGGCCTATATCCGTACTTCCGCGGCAGTTGTAGTTTGGGCAATTGTTAGGGAACATCCGTGTAATTTTCCCAAAAGAAAAACATATACCTTCATCAATAAGGCAACAAGGAAAATTACTATAAAAGTAAACTGTTGAAATGGAAATAAATTTGATAAATGAAAAACTACATGAACGCACCAACTTTTGAAAATATTCTGGCATGGCCATGCATCCTTTAGCCACTGTTTGGATGGAGCATTCAATTAGATAAATTGTAACCTCACTTGAAATAACTGCTATTCAAATACATCATTAGGAAATTCATTTTAAGTTCCACACCATGTTAATTTTAGAATAAATATACTCTATTTTTATGATATCATGTTCTTAAAACAAGTTCTCTGCCTACTTTCCATTTTTTTTTTTTTTTTTAACATTGATCTCCTGAGGTGTCTACGGGGGAGGTCCATGTAATTTGCCCAAAAGATAAGGAAACAACAAGAAACATTAAGTCTCACATTAAAAAATTATTCACAAACACCAGCTACTTTTATTGCAAGGGGGCAATTGAAACGATGTAATCTATGCACTAGCTCAGTTCTTGAAACATCAAGAAAACAAAATGCAAAAACAGAACACGCAGTCATACACCTTGAAGAACTTATACAATTTTGCAACCATTGCCCCTGATGCAACTCATATCTCCCAATAAACAATAATGTCAATTATTATAGTAATTTGAGTTCATCCTGTATTATTAAGAATTGCCAATAGGAGGGTGCTTTATATCTGAGAAGCGGGCTCTTGCTGCTCCCTAGATGTATAACAATGCTAAACGGATGTTCTAGAGAACGATATCAAGTACTACGTTACCTGAATGATTTGACAGCATTCTTAAGCTCAGGGTCTTCCAATATGTTTCTGGCACTCAAAGGAACATCTTAAAAAAGCATATCAATAGTAGAATGCCACAAACAACTTAATGTAGTCAAGTCGGCAAGGTGCAAGGCCCAGCTCAAAGTTCAAGAAGTATGACACTAAATAAAATTCCAGCTACAAAATTAGCTCCAGTCAGCTCCTCTTTTAGAGCTTCCATTGTCTCATCTTCTTGTGCTTTCCTAAGACAACTTAAGCCAACTACATGGTCATCTCTCACAACTATTCTTTTTTCATAAAACAAAAAAAAAAAAAAACAAAAACAAAAACAAAAATGCTCTTTAATTTGTCATTTTGACATAGTTGACTAAACACCCAAAGGCAAGTCTTGGCTGGAGGTATATCAAGAAGCACGGACACTTCTAAAGAGGTGGTGTACACCAACACGACAATGACACTAGTCAAGCACATCCAAATATGTCCAACTATTTTTAAATTTTTTTTGAACTTTGACACAATTCAGACACTTGTAAAACACATGTCTATTGTTTAAACACACATAAAACACATTACAAGTTTGAATAAAATCACTTGAAATCCAACAATAATAATAAAAAAAAAACAAAGTAAATTCATACCTATTCTCATCTTGTTTAGACTTTAAAAACTATTATCTCTGAATTGATTATTAACATATATGACATATACTAAAGGTTTATTCTTATGTATGCCATACAATAAATATATAAAATTATATATTTTGCATATGTCCCCCACGTGATGTGTCCTTTATTTTTTTGAAAAATTTTGTGTTAGTGTATCGATGTTGGGTCCGTCTCCTGCCACATGCCCGTTTCTGTACTTCTTAGAAGGTATGTGTTCAAGCGTCAAATTTATCTAATATTCATATCCAAGGATACCAGGACAAGGCTAGAGGTCATATTTATAAAATATTTCTTTTATTTGTTATGATAAAATGAAGTTTACAAACTAACATACAACATTTTATGCATATAATGGGAGTTTTGTGCATAGTAAACCTGACTACTTATCCATACTTGATGGGTGCATCTCTAAATAAGCATGTTGGTCACACATCATATACGATATACCCTTACTCAAGTGTTCAGTGTCTTAACACAGATACTTCAAAAATTTAGATGAGGCCACCTGCCATACCAAATAGTCACATGTACACCACATAAAAAATCACAAATTATTCAAGCTCACATAAATATATGGTTGCTCAACCCTCAACTGAACCAGAGAATGTATGAATATTGTTGAAAAACGAAGCGATAGAACACATGCTATATTCTTTCAACACTCTCACTGCTAATGAGCTGAATCCACACCGAGGAAGATCAGGCACTCCTTTCATGTAAATCGTCACAGGGTTGTCATTGACATCCTGCCATAGAAGCCAAAAGCTATCAATAAAAAAAGACTAAAAAACAAGACTAAAACTTTAATCTGGATAATTAGAGAGACAAAAAAAAAAGGCTTAAGACTCAATATCTAATGTGAAAGGTATAGATGACTACTGTCAACCTGCTCAACAATGTCCTTCAAAGAAAGGTCAGAATTCTGAAGCTTATTAGTGGGCATGAAGTCCTCATGTGTGTCAGGATAATTTGGCACTATAGTTGAGTATCGCATCCCATGGTGGTTAAAAGATCCAGCTGCCTACCAACAATTAAAGCAAAAATATTAGCAATATCATTTCTATGATCGATCATTAAGAATGATTTCTTCTAAACATGAGACCAGGCCACACACTTGCTGCTTAAAATTTCAAGAAAGCCTTTTTCTAGTCAATTTTTCTGAGTGTAGTTTAACAATTAAAGCATTTTTTGTTTGCAGTTTATGATTAAGGATCCAAGAAATCTAGAACTAAATGGTTTATCTTAAAAACTAAGTGGTTTCTTTGCTGTAGGAAGAGTGCATGGAAAGTCTCCTACGTAACTGAGTCTATTAGCAAGTCCAAAATTAATGTGCAGCAGCAGCAGAGTGCTACAGTCCTAATGCAAAAAATTAACATCGTGTGATTGATAAGTTGGTAAAAATATGTAAGATAAGATTTTAAGGTTTGTATGGGGTGACTAAAGGGTAAGGGTAAGAAATGAAAGGAAAGGATTTTGGTGCCTGTTTTGGGTGATGTGTACAGTACCATGCTAAATTTTGACTCTTTTGTGTGCAATATTTGTAGAATGATAAAGGGCAGACTTGAGGTGGTTTGAAGGGTTTATTGATATAAAATAAAGTTCAATCAAGATTTAGAAAGAAGGTTCAATCAGATCTGGTTAAGGGGGTATTAGATGCTAAAAGTGTAAAAAGATTTAAGAAAAATGAGGAAAACAAAATTCTAGGCACCACACCTAGATACCAGATCGCAATTTGCATCACATGATCACACAATACCAAAAGAGTTACAAATTAATAAAATTTACAATCAAACATAAGATTGTGAGTCCATGAATTAACAATTTCAATCATATGCTATAATTCTACTAATCAAACATGCTTTTATAGTTTCAAGGGAGATGAGGGTTGTCAAGGAGGAAGAGAGAGGGGGTCACCAATGAAGAAAAGGATTTGCAGTAGGGGATGAGAACTGGGGGAGGGTGACTGAAGGAGGAGCTACCAGAGGAAGGTTGTTGGAGTGGGGGTCCAAAGGGTAGAGTTAGAATAATGGTGGTTGCTCGTTAGTCAACTTCCAATATTTTCTCTATAAAAAGATGACTAAAACAAGCCAAATTGTATGTTATTTTTTGGTCCTTGACCTTTTCCCGTTGATGATAATAATATTAATAATAATAATAATAATAATAATAATAATAATAATAATAATAATAATAATTTTAATTCTACATTATGCATCACTGTTAAAGGATATAGATGATATATCATTTTGCCCATTAAACTTTTTCGCATTTTTTAATTTGACCCGCGAATTTCGATTGATATCAATTTTACACTCAAAATTTCAAAATTTTGATAAATTTGATCCATATCATCACATCTCATCTACAATTGGACGAAATGTGTTGACATAGCACCAAAGTTCGTTTGAAATTTCATTTTACCCCTCAAACTATACTTTAAAAATCAATTTGTCCCCCAAATTAATTAAAAATCAATTTACCTCTCAAACTATACCTTAAAAATTAATTTGCCCTACACATCAGCACATTCCGTCCAATTATTGACAAAATGTGATAGCAGGGGCCAAATTGATCAAAATTTCGAAAGTTTAAATGTAAAATTTATATTAATCAAACTTTAGGAGTCAAATTAAAAAATATGTGAAAGTTTAGAGGGAAAAATGATATTTTCCGATACAACACAAATCATACGGCAAAACATTGAAGTGAATGTTTCAAAAAGAGAGTAGAGAGCAGTTTGATTGATTAATACGATTTCATCCAGAGAGCACTTTGTCTTCTCATCTCTAAAAGCTCATCTTTGATCACCAGAGATCTGAATCCAGTGTAACTGTCACATTCTTTGATATATATATATATATATATCCATCTGAAACTGGTGAAGGCAATTTTGAGCATTTAATTTCACAAAAAATCATGCTTTGTTGTTTTGATTGATCGAAAAATGATTTTGTTCACTTTTTTTAAAAATTTTATAAAGAAATGAATACAAATATAAATTTTATTAAAAACGAAACTATAAAACGCAAATTATGAGATTTTAATTTTTTTTAATACAAAATACATTTGTTTATCAAAAAATGTCGTAATGGCCTTAAAAATTGGGAGAATTACATTCCAATGGCATAGAGGGTTTTTTTCTTTTTTAACACAAATATGACTTGCACCCACCACATTTCACGTTCATCTCATTACAAAATCACTTGCACTCTATATGTTTTTGTAATTTTTTTTATTTTTGTTACTGCACTGTAATTCTCCCTTAAAAATTTAGCACATGAAAGTATTTCTAAATAAAATTAAAAATTAAATTTATAGCTTGAGCCCTCATAAAAAAATAGTACGAATTAAAATTAAAAAATATATTTTTAAAAATTCTAAACTAAACAAACAGCTACTCATAAAAGTCATGCCAGTGCCCAATTATGATGGTTAACACGGTTTCACGAGGCCACACAGAAATCATACCACACCGCGTGTTGAACTCTATTGCCTAGGTCAAGTCGTTGGCGTGCTACATACATTGAAAGTTACTTAGATTAACTCCTGTTTCAATCACAGACCACTCTTTGTTTCTTTCTCATCTCTCATAAACTAGTCTTTTTTTATCGTCTTCTGGTGTTAATGATATATTCTTTCATATATTTAGGCTCCCAAATATCAAAGATATGTCTGGTTTAAGTGCTAATGATGCAATTTCAAGCGTTGTGATCGAATCATGCCGTTGCTTTTCACTAGCTGAGATACAATCAATGGCCAACAATTTTAATGAAGAATATTAGTTATTGAGATTGGAGGATTTGGTAAGGTATATAAGGGGTTCATCGATAACGGTGCTACAGTTGTTGCCATAAAGAGGTTGAAAGCAAAGTCCAATCAAGGTGCAGAGGAGTTTTGGAATGGGGTCAAGATGTTGTCTAACCTCCGACACACTCATCCTGTTGCTCTGATCGGTCAATGCAACGACTGCCAAGAAATGATCCTTGTTTACGAATATATGGCTCGTGGGACCCTAGCCGATCATCTCTATAAAACAAGTAGAAACCAAACTGAAATTAGTACTTTTCATCTCACATGGGAGCGGAGGCTCAACATTTGCATCGGTGCAGCACGAGGGTTAGACTACCTTCATATTCGTACCGATCAAAGTTTCATACACCGAAATGTGAAGACCACAAACATTCTGTTGGATGTGAATTGGGTAGCCAAGATTTCAGATTTTGGGATGTCCAAAAGCACTACAAGCAATTCAGCAACCCATGTTAGTACGAGAGTCAAAGGTACATTTGGGTATTTAGATCCAGATTATTTCTATACCCACAGACTAACCAAGAAATCTGATGTGTATGCCTTTGGTGTGGTGTTCTTGGAAGTGCTCTGTGGGAGGCCGCCTGTGGATGAAAGACTCGAGGAGGACGAAATTAGTTTAACCCTTTGGGCTCAACAATGCATTAAAAAGGGAAATGTTGATCGAATCATTGATCCCTCATTGAGTGGACAAATAACACCACAGAGTCTAAAGTACTTTGTAGAAGTTGCCTACAATTGTTTACATAATCGTCCAAAGGAAAGGCCTACAATGGCTGAAGTGGTGGGGACTCTTGATCTCGCATTGGTGTCACAACATAAAGGAAGAACAGAAGGAATAATTGGAAAGGTATTTAAGGGTATTGCAATTATGTCAAAAGGTATGAATCATTGGTGGAGGGAGAGAAAGGAAGACAGTTCTCAGAGTGGACTGTCAGAGGATTTGTTTTGGGAACCACTTCCAGATGGTTTTACCTGATCACACCGTCATTTCTCACTTGATGAGATTCGAGTGGCTACAAATGATTTCAATGAGGGACTTTTGATCGGAAATGATATGTTTAAGAATGTGTACAAAGGTTGCGTGGATGGGGAAACTAGTATCGTTATGATCAAAAGGTTCAGTGCCTTGGCATTGCGAAATTGGAAAGAGGTAAGGGCTAACATTGAGGTACACTCCCTATTCGAAAATCACCGCCACATAGTCTCTTTGATTGGATTTTGCATTGTGAAACCAGAGTTAATTGGCGTGTATGATTACATGGAGAATGGATCCTTGGAAGATCATTTATTCAACACAAACAACGATACACTTCTGTGGAAAGAACGGCTCAGAATTTGCATTGGTGCAGCACGAGGACTACAACATCTCCATGAGAATATGAAGCAAAAAGTCATCCACTGTGACATAAAGCCAACTAATATTCTGTTGAATAAGAATTGGGTTGCAAAACTTACTCATTTCGGGTTTTCCAAATTACTACCCAATGACACTACATATGTACCACTAATGGATTCAATGATCTGCAGATATATGGCACCAGAGTACTTAATGCACGGAAAATTGACAACAAAATCTGACATATATTCATTTGGTATGGTGTTGTTGTCAGTATTGTGTGCTAAGAAGCCATATTATGAGCTAGATTGGGATCATAAGTCGTTAGTATGTCAGTTCATGAATAGTATCAAAACCATTGATCAAATCATTGATCCAAATCTGATTGGGAAAATAGCACCATAATGCTTGATGCAATTTGTCAACATTGCATTAAGTTGTCTACTTGATCAGGCCAACCGGCGACCCTCGATAGACAATGTGGTAAGGAGCCTCCAATCTGCATTACTACTACAGGAGGCTTGGGAGAATCATTTTGAGATTGGTGCTGAGTTACCTGTGATTGACCTTTATTGTTGTAGCGTCTTCTCTATTGATGGTTACTTGACAATTGGTGGGTTGAGCCTTTTTCCGTCAAATATTGATGATGATCTTGCTTCAAATCTTGACGGAGGATCGAATGGGTGCTTGTCAAATCCAGATTTTGACGAATTCATTCGTTAATTAAGAAGCTTTTGGATTTGATTCTTTTATACTACGTGTACGTCTTTCCATTTTATTTTGTTCGGAGTCTTCTTTTTTTTTAATTGTTATGTTTGTCATATGTTGGTGTATATATGTTAGACAATTTTTCATAGTTGGATTTTCGGATTGATGAGAGTTTCTCTTGTTGAATTTTTATGTTCTCTTGAATGTGAAGGTGTTGGGATTTCCATGATGGTTAATTGTTTAATTTGATAAGGTGATGATCCACAAGGGTATATCTTCTACAAATGAAAGAAAAAAATAAAAAATAAAAAAATCACATAAATATCTATTTGGGTTGGCTCTTTTATTTATTTATTATTTTTTTTTAATTTTTAACTATACTTGGTTTAGCTTGGTGCATCCATTATTACTTGCACTATGCAAACACCCAGACTAGAGCCGACCCTGAGGTAAGGCCAGAAAGACATTAGTCTCCGATTTCTCTCTAAAAAAATAGTGCTCCCAAATGATTTAGTTCTTATGTTAGGTACAATTAATTGAAATGAACTGGAATGAAATAATCATTCCATTATAATGTTCTTCACGTTCAGTTCACTAAAAAATGATCAAAAAATATATTATAAACAAAATTATTGTTCACCATTGTGAGAGGCTAAGGAACGACAATTTTATTTAGTTCAATTTCATTTCAATGAACCAAATATTGCTTTATTGTATTAGTAATTTAAAATGAAATTTCACTATTTTTTTTTTATAATTGAAGTGGTGAATTATTTAATAATAATGGATGGTTATTTGTTAAATATGTTGATTGTTTATAAAATATTGTCTAATTGCCTCTTGATAAATAATTTCTTTAAAGTTCAAACTGATCAAATTTTACATTCAATCAACTACATCGTAAAAAAAGATTGAATAAATTAAGGAGAATATGCCAGAAGTCTCATTCTAAAAACGTATGAGCCGGAAAGTTCCTTCAATTTTCTTATAGACTATTAAGTCCTATTAAATTTGAAAGGTATACCATGAGGTCCTTTCACTATATTTCATGGAAACAACAAATGTGAGAGTAGTTCATTTGTGCAATATTATGTTATTAAACTTTTGTCAAATGTGTCTCTTTTTTATTTCTTTTTTTTTTTTGAAAATATGAAAAATAGTTATATTAAAAAGGTAAACAACATGCAATCAACACAAGAAAAACAACAAGATCCTAAAGGGCTGAACAAACAACCATACAACAAAACAGGAACAAAAAACAATAAATCCGCCAAAAAAACCAATTATGATCCAGAAAAAACCATCAATCTTCTCATAATGTAGTTTGAAAAGCTAGATCTACATCAAACCAAGTAAGATCTGCATCAAAACCCACCGTTCCCATTGCTCTTGCCTATAACTCTGCCACCGTTGCTGCCGTACTTTGGACACTTCTAGAAGCTAGATTTGAATAGGATGAACACCCACAATAGTATAGGAGAAGGCTTGAGAGAAGAGAGAACCTCATTTTTAAATATGGCATCATTCTAATGTATGCACTATTATCTTTCTAAATTTTTGCCAAATGTGACAATGAATTTTCTTAAATGTGAGAAGGAGACATTCGTTGCCAAATATTTCATTATAAAATATGATAATGAGACATTAGTCTAATATATGTACTAATGTCTTATTAAACTTTTACCATATGTGTCATTCTTCTTAAAATATGATAATGAAACATTTGTGCATTATTGTCTTATTAAATTTTTACCAAATGTGTCATTCTTAAAATGTGATAATGTGATATAATTTTAATGTTTGCACTACTATCTTATTATGTTTCCAAATGTAAGTATGTTTCATTTGAGATATTTTGATGTGAGAAAAGATTTATGGGTTCATAAGATTATTTATGGGACTAAATGATCCATAAATAATGGATATATGATTTATTAGGGGTCATTTGTTAATATTTTTGTTTCTTCTTTTCAGTTTTTGATTCATTTTTTTTTTCAAAATTAAAAACAAAAACTTGTTTGGTATATTATTTTCATTTTCAAAAAAAAATAAAATTGATTTTAAAGTTTTCAAAAAACACAAAAAAGTTGTTTTTACCTGGTTTTAAAACAAGTATTCACTTTCTCCCCTTATTCACCACTTTTGGCCACCACCCACCGCTATTACCACTGATCACAACCTCCTCTCGCTGCCAGTGGGTAGTGAGCTCCGAATAACTTCCGGTGAGTCTTCAGCGGGTGGGTCACGACCCAAACCCGCCCCTATAGATTTAGCATCGTAACCGGCCAATAATCCTTGGATTACCAAAGGCCTCTTAATAGAATAACATATAATTAGGGGTTGTGGAAGCAAATATACTAAATATACATAGTCCATAGATCTATGCAAACATATATGGGACGAAAATTTGAAACCTTATAAAATATACACATAAGATGTCACGTCCATATAAGTCTTGCAACACTGTGCAAGCGTCATCAAAAGGGACTTAGCCCAGTATACAGATATCAAAGTAAGACAAAACAAAAACGTTCTTAACATGATACACAAAATAACTCTTGACATGGCCCACAAAATTTGACTTCTAGACACGGGAACCTCCCCGAGAGGCACGGTGGCTGGCTGACCCCAAAACTTCCAGGCATCAACTTAGGTCTGGTCGCACACTTGCTCACCTACATACATAATGTAAATAGTGAGTAGTAGCCCAGTGAATAAGAACAGAATAATGGGTTTTAATGAATGATGTCCATACCTGATTCAGAAATCAGAATTCAGATTCATAAATAGATTCATATTCATATTCACATTCATATTCTTGTTTAAATCATACAAAAAAATCAAAGTTCATAGTTAATCATATGTGGTACATCCATTAGCGCTAACAGAACAGATACAGAACAGATGGAGAACATATGGTGGTTATAAGTAACTAGTTCCATAAAGGAACCTCCGGATCAGGGTAATAGAGAATAGATATGTTGAGGCCCATGATGGAGCCTCCGGTACGGGTAACAAATGACAAACATAATAAGTTCCATAATGGAACCTCCGATACCGAGTAACAGCTAACAGATATCACATGGTGCTAAGGATGCCATGAATACACGTTAGAAATTGGACAATCATTTATTATATTGAACATAACATTTCAGAAAACAGATCTTATTTCATCATACAGAAAATAAATAAAATTGAACATAACTTTACCAAGTTATTACTCATAGATAGCTTCGAGCGCAGACAGACAGAGTAGACTAATCAAATGGTTTACAACACGTGACCTACATCAACACATAACATACACATTTGAAACACACGCTCAGAATATACTTAACTCATTACGTTTTGTTCTTAGTGTGTTTCTACGTTTGACCCTCATTATTATGTCTTAATCATGGCCCAGGAATGCTTAAGGTGCAATGAGGATGCCAAATTATGCTGTTCAACACTTGGGAAAATTTGCTGAAAATAGGGTCCCCGCTCGAGCGCAACTTCCTTCGCTTAAGCAGAGGTTCAAAAATGTAAGTTTTCGCTCGAGCTCAACTTCGGTCGCTCGAGCGGTCTGTAAACTCTGCAAAAGTACTGGTTGTGTGATTTTTTTGCTCGACGCACGCTCGGCGGTCACTCGAGCATGAGACTCAGGTCCTCGCTCGAGCACAACTCTTGTCGCTCGAGCAGTCTGCAAAAACATGAAACTTCTGGGAGCTTGCATTTTACGCTCGAGCGAACTTCCGGTTCTGTCGCTTGAGTGGGGAGGTCAAATTTTGGAATTTTCAGATTCACCTCCAAGCTGCAAAACTCAAAGTCAATGCATCAAAACTCACCCTTTTGAGCCAAAAACTCGAGGAATCATATGTGAACTTGGAAAACATTAGAAATTCTAAATCATTTCGCAAAATCAAACCCCAAAGACTTGCCAATTATGCAAAACAAAACTCAATTCTTAGAAAACATAGCATGCATGTTTTGCCTTGACTTCAAAACTTCTAAAACATGATCTAATGACACAAAACGACATGAAACTTGATGAATTCTCAAAACTAAGGTGAATTAGTAACATGCATGAGGAAATTCTTGGAAAACATCTTCAAAATGTTATGAAATATGCATGCATGCATGGTTTGAGTTCATTTCTTCAATTCTAACTCAATTCTTGTATCATCCAACTTAATTCTTTAGAGTTCATGTCCTACACATCATAATTGTACAATCTGAAGGTTGAATTCTTACCTAGGCTTCCCAAGATGTGTGCTAGAGGCGTAATTCTTGAGTTTCCATATACAATGCCTTCAATTTCTAGCTAAATCCTCCCAATCTCAAGTGTTAATATCAAACTCTCACTCTTGGTCTCTTTCTTCCTCTCTCTCACATTGTATAGGCTCAAAATGATGAGTAGAAGGTGACTCAAAAGTGGTGTATAAGCCTTTTATAGGCTTGGTTAATAAAATTAATTAATTAAGCTTACCACTAATCAAATGAGTAGTAATTATTCTAATTATTTTGCTTCGAATCAAATTTCAATTAAACCTACCACAATGTTCTAAACATTCCAACCAACACATATACCAAGTCAATTTCTTGATCGGATGCCTATAAGGCCTTCAATTCGTAGAACAAAACAGAAACAGAAACATATATTCCTATTGCAGACAGATATAAACATAAATAATGCACATGCACATGCAATTAATTCAAATTTCCTCTTAATTATTCATTAGGCATAATTAATCATGGTTAATCAGCTAATCATAGGTCGGGGTTGTTACATGGTGGGTGGTCGGTCACTGTCGTGATCTTTGGCCACCTTTTAACATTCTTTTGGCTATCTCTTGCCCTCCTAACTAAATCCAGTAGACATCTTTAGCTACCCGCCACTACTGATCACCACATCTATCCACCCTCCATTTTCGGCCACCAAATCCGGCAACTCATAAAATATATTTCTCGATTTTTTTAATTTGTTTTTCAAAACATTTTTGTGGCAACTCATAAAATATATTTCTCGATTTTTTTAATTTGTTTTTCAAAACATTTTTGTATACCAAACAAGTTTTTTTGTTTTTTTTTATAGAAGTAAACGAAACGTTATTTCATATTTTTTTGTAAACTGAAACGTTAATAAACGATGC